ACACACACACACACACACACGGAAAGAACGCACAGATGCAAAGAAAGGAGACGCACAAACACAAACACATGTACGTAGTTAACAAATTCTTAAAGATGAACACTAGAGCCTGTTGAGAACACACAACTCTTAATAACAACACACTATCATAAGACATCATCATGAGTTTCACAGGGAACATCTAAAGTAATGTTTTTGTGTTACGTGCTGTACATTTAACATGAAAAATATCACGAGGGAACCATTTTCTATGTCATTAAGGGAACAATGATGTAGACTGCCACATACACTGTATTTCTGAAGCTAATATCAATATGTGAATCACATGAGAGCACTTTGCATATATTAAAATAAATGTTTCTAAACATAAAAACATGACATAAGGATCACTTTTGCTTTTGAGAATTGCAACGTTACAGTACACAGTGAACAAGGGCTGTCAGTCTTCCTCTATGATCCCATCCCAATTTAAATGCTTAACATTTGTTATATTTATATTTGCAAGAGGCCCCTGACAGAGAAACTCCGACTCCTTCAATATATTACTGCTTATCAACCAGCATATCCTGATACATGGGTCACAGTGAAAGGTATCCTCAACGCTATAATGCTTTTAATTTCTAACACTTTTTGGTTTTACTGAAACTGTAAAGAGGAGATTTTATGGGATTTAATAAACAGTCATTTCAGTGTCACATCATCAAATATACATTTATAGATATAGACATTTTGGTTTTGAAAACCCACTGACAGTGCTTTCCTTCTAAAAGAAAAGATGTTTATGTGCCACTGCAGGAGAAACACTAATTAATAGTTAATTAACAAGTAAGTCAGTAGGTCATCACAGTGACCAGCCCCATCACTGACACAATCTATTTCTCTGGATGAAAGATGACATTGAAGAGAGTGACAGTCCTCCCTCCGGCCTCTGCCTGACATGTGACAAGAATAAAAGCACGAGATCTGGTGCTGCCACTGAGGATAATTGATAGTCATGTGTCCAATATCATGTCCTTTTTAAATGTTAATGGCAGCTACAAGAAGGAGCTCACACTATCCTGCGAAAACAATAGACACATTATTCTTAATGAATGGCAGACAAAGACACCGCAGGTCATCCAGTGTGTATTCACCCATGCAAGAGGAAACAAAGACAACGTCCACGATAGCAAGGAATTTTTTAGAGCCGATGATTTCAGAGTGCAGAATGCAGAACATGCATGATGACGACTAAAGAGACGTGAAGGATTTAGTGAACATGCAGTTGCGAAAAAAAGGACAATGATGCATTCAGCAAGAGACGTGATGCTTTGTGTTCTTGAATATTAAAAAAAAAGATCCTGCATGTTTTTTTATTATATTTAGAACAAATTGTAAATCATCCAAAGATTATTTTAATCTGCAGGTTTTAAGAACATAAAGAACGGAATGTCAGACCTGCTATGTCAAGTACGACACATATGAAGGAATGTCAAAGCCTGAGAGTCGGGTGTACCGAGATATATTCTGCCTGGGGTGTTTGTAGACTACAGTTGTCAGTTCCACGTTGGTCTTGTTTGTAGTGTTTTAAAATCTGTATTTTTGCGATAGAGCAACAACACACACACAGACACACACACACAAACACACACACACAGACTTTGCAAACTAAAACCCTGTGTATTGCCGAAACAATTGTTTAAAAAAAAGTATGTGTACAGCACATGTAAATTGCACAGACATGAAAGGTGTTTGAAATGAATCTATGATGATTAATAACACGTGTCATTGTCAAAGCTGCAGAGATGAAAGTGAAAGTGAGCAGCTTGAAATGTAGGAGAACCTTTAAATTCAAAGCAGGCTCTGGAAAATGGTCAGCGATTGTCTAAAGATTTCATGACGAAAGAACTCAAAATAAAAACTTTGGTCCTTCAAAGCTCAAGCATTTGTAGACAGTGATGTCACAGATGCACATAGAAGCCAGAGATGATGCCCTTGATTCAACTCTTTATTTAACTTCTTTGACAGAGGTGTAAAGAAACACACTCACTCTCACACACACAAGGAGAATACAAGTGATCAGTTTCTCCACAACACACAAGGGCTGAATGAACTGGTAAATGAAGGGATGAACAGAGGGATGATAAGAGGGGTGCTATTGAGGGAATGGCAGAGACGGTGGTATGAGTGAATGAGAGGCAGCCGACCAAACACACAGTTGGTGCGTGCAGGTCAGAGTTCAACAGGAACATGCGGGCGGGAAGTCATGTTAAGGAAGAAGCGCAAAAATCACCACTGTCTTAATATTGGTCGCTCATCCCAAATCCACAGTGTGACAGTACATCTCTGTGCAGTATTAAATATAAACAGCTTCCATTATATTCCTGATATGGAACGATTGGTTTGACCCATATTAAGACTAATAGACAGACTAATTTTCCAAAAGTTGTAACTTTGCTTCTTTTATTTTTCAAATGCACAAATTTGAATATGTGTACAAAGACAGTATACTTGTGTCTCCTTGTTGCTCTGGATTAAGAGATAGTGTGTTAGCCTTGGTTGAGGTGTGCGCTCCTCTAGCTCGTCAATGAGTTTGTGAAATGATGCCAGCTTCAGACAACTTTTAAAGGTACAGTGTGTAGAATTTTGTGATATCTAGTGTTGAAATTGCATGTTGCAGCTGAACACCTCTCACCTCACCCTCTCCTTCCAGACATGAAAAAGAACCTGTGGTAGCCAGTAGTTTGTCCAGTCTGGACTTATGTAAAAAAACACGGCGGCCTCTGTAGAGAGGATCCCCTCGATGAAAAATATAAAGTATTTGAATATAAAGGGCCTTTTCTGGGGTAAAGAAAACTACAATTCATACAATTCCGATGAAACCAACTAGTGAGAACATCGTGAGAATTATTCTACATTAAATTTGTGCCAATAGTTCCCTTTCACCTAAATCTTACACACTGGACCTTTAAGCTGAAACAGTCTCTGAATCTCTCGAAGGCTGGAGAGATACTTTCTTTTTGGCCACTTATTCGTACCAGATGCATCGTGACACAATTGCTCACATACATCCTGTGTACCACGTGCATACTTTGTATTTCACTAGAGGTCACACCACAGAACCATATAGAACCTCCAGATATGAATTCTGTAAATAAAAAACATGGCAGAGAAAGAAACAACCCTGGAGGAGGTTAGCCTACGGTTACTTCTGAGATCCCGGCAGCAACGATCACAACGTCAGAGCAGACAATGGTGAGTGCACTGCCACTATTGTGCGTATTGCATCTTTTCGATGTATGCATATGCTATTTATGAGGACCCACACAGCTACTGTGTGGTCACAGGATACACAAGGCAGCCATGATGCATATACGTAGTTAAAAACAAGTATATATCGGGCCTTATGATGCAGCAGGGACTAACTCAGCATCTCAGTCAGAATTAACTGAGGTAAAACTTCCCAGCTGTGCCGTCACTGGTCAGACACAGAATTAGCAGTTTACATATAAGAATTTTTAAAATTTCAGTGTCGAAACCTGCTTGAAAAGCCAAACTTTTCAATTGGTTAATATTTTTGGAATAACACTTTTCACATGCACAGGATGTAGTGTCAGTCTGTTGAGTTGGGATGGTGAATAAAAGCCAAATACAAGCAGCCTCTCATCTCTCCATCCACTGCCAACCATTACGAGGGACTTGGTATCATGTGAAATATTAAATTTTAATTAAATTACACCACAACTTGTTTCTGTTACTACAGATATGTTACAGAGTTGATATATTTATGTATCTATATTTACTATGCTGACATTTCTGTACATTTCTTCATAAATTAAGACAGCCCAACCTCATGGGCTTAAATTAAGTGCAACCCCAATATATAATTCATTATAGAGAGCTACTATATACACCAGCAGTAGACAGTATGCAAGAAAAACAAACTCACAAATAGAAGTTTAATAGTTTGTGTCAACTTTGTTTTGGAAAATTAAGTATTCAAATAAACAGAAATGGAGATTCAAGAAACTGTGCTACTATATGAAACCTTACTTTAGCTCAATAGCTCACTTCTTCAGGAACTTTGACTGGCAGTGGATGGAGGGATTTATTTATAAAGCTGGCCTGATTTGCTTTGTGGTTGTAACCTCACTGAACAACTTGATGTGATGTATTAGCAGGAAAACAAAGAGAAGAGGGGATGTCTACTGAGAGTCAGGTGGAGGTGAGGGAGAGGGCGAGAGGGAGGTGCTCACTTTGTCAAAGCTGGCAAATCGGTCAGCTTCCCGTACGTTGTGACGAGGAGGGGAGGAGGGGGCGAAGGGGTCGGCTAAAGGATCCTTGGCAGGCAGGGAGGGCGAGGAGGAAGAGGAGGAGAAGTCTCCTGAAGGCTGTGGGAGGAAGTGCCCTCGTCGATGGAAGGAGTCAGAGGACTCTGTTCTGGAGATGGATGATTTCTTACCTGGACAAGTGAGATACAGTCGGTGAGATGTACACAGGAAGTAATAATTACTAATAACCATCACTCACTCTTAATATACCCCCACATGTTTGATAGCAATACATCTTATTTGACAACAGTCCAACATATGTGCACAGTGAAATTAACCAGAGCTGACCTGGAGGTGGTGGTGGGGGTCTAGTTGGTGTACCAGTTTTTGGGGGCAGAGCAGGGGGCACGTCGGGGCTGGTAGAGGGACTGTCTTCCTCGAACAGGTTCTTATTGTTGATACCAAACTGGTCAGCCCCATTTGACTGAAACAGGTCAACACAAAATCAAATCTATACTTTCCAAAACAGACACACTACATAAAGATTTGATACTGTGGACTGGAGGTGGAATTACAGCAGTGGTCATCATACTGTGTCGTTTGGTTTAGACGATGACTGAACTTTACACTAACATCAGCGAATATTTGAGGTTGAGAAATATAATGCAAAACGAATCTGATAAGACTACAGAAATAGTTCAAGTATGCAGCATTTTGCAGAATTCAGTCTGTCGTTGTATTTTCCTTTTTATATATAAAACATGATATGTTGCTGCAGATTGTCTGAAATGAACGGTGAGTTGAGCGGCAAAAAATATCCACCAAGGGGAAAATAAAGTGTTCCAGCGGTTTCCTCCAAAGAACCACAACAAACTCACCAACATTCTTCCATCTTGAGTCAATTTATATTTCCTTCTATAAGTCAATTTATATTGTCACTGATGGCCTGCCTGACACGTGATTAACTGTGTTTCACAACATACTGAGTCATTTCCGCACTGTATAAATGCAGCAGAGGTAATTTCAGCACTTTGTACGTGCAGCAGAGGACATGATCTGAAAATTACCTTTGTCAAGGCACTGAAATCTGCAAAGCCCCCTCCAAACGACTCATTACCAAACACAGCAGCAAACGGATCTGAAACAAATGAGATTCAGTTTATGAAACTGACACACACACACTAAACTGTTGATACGTTTATGTTGTATATTGTAACAAAATCTGTTTTTTAAATATTTTGAACCGCTGCAGTTTCCTCTAGTTCCACAGGGTGGTACCATACCACACATCATACCTGCATCTAAGCTGGCGCTCACTGTCGTACCACCTGGAGCGAAAGGGTCATTGGCCACCGCAGTGTCCTTCTAGAGACAGAGCACCACAAAAAAAAATCACTAAGCAAAAACAAAAGCACAATTTCACTTATTTAATTTGCTTTACAGTATTTACTGACCAGATATCACTAACTTGTTAAAACCCCTTTTTAAATTCTACTTTAAAATTTTTCTTTTTCTTATTTTTTTTGCTTGGGAGATTTGAAATAACAGCATAAGAAGTTGAAGGGAAAACAATACAACACTAAATAGACAGATTAAACAGTACTCTGTTCTTTTAATAAAACTCGAATAATAATACGAATACCTAATATATACACATTTGTATTAAAATGTAGGATTTTGTGCCATCTAACTGTGAAGTTGCAAATTGCAACAAATGAATACCAAATGAACACCACTCGCCACACTCCCTGAAGTGTGTGATAAATAT